TGTACAAGTTGTCCACGTTTATTTTACATTTGTTCTACGTTATACGTTCCCTTTAAGTTTATTTCACGTCTTTTTCAAGTTTATTTCAAGTTTATTTCATGTTTATTTCAAGTTGTTTTCAGGTTGCGTTTCACGTTTTTTTAGCGTGTCACGTTTTTTACACGTTTTGTTCACGTTTATTTTACGTTCTTTTTACGTTGCTTTTCACGTTTTTTTTTTAGGGTCGATGACTTTTAGTTCACGTTTATTTTACGTTTTATAGATGCAGAAACCACACCAGTACTAGCTTGTCTCGCCGACATAAATATAGTATATATTTATATAGGAATCTTTCGGATCTGTGCACATCAGTGGGATTTGTATGCTAACAATCATCTCCGCTCACCAACCTCGGGCCTTTTCTTGCTGACGATGCGCTGGCTTGTGTCAGACGGTCGCAAGATTTTTTTTTCTGGCGGCTGGAAGCTTCCAGTTGGTCCGGAAAGCTGCGGGGGTGCGGGCTCCCGGTTTGTAAGCTATTTTCGAACAGATCACCGTGTTGGTGTTTTTGTTTCGTGGCCACCTGTGCTGCACCCAGGATTGTGCGCACCAGCATACCTTGCGGGTGGATTGGGCGAACCCCGATTCCGACAGTTGCAGCTCCTTGAAAGACCTGCGATTGATTCAATTGCGAGTCTATCAAGGAGCTATCTGAGGCTCGCGATTGGGAAGGTATATTTTTTTGTCACAATGGGCCCAAGGAATATTTCCTGCATCATCTAGCTCCTGGGCGGCCGCCTCTGGGAAACCGACTTTCTTACAGCACTTTGCGAGATCTTTGCCAGCGCCGTCGGGTTGCCAAAAGCACGAAATCGTTGCTTCCCCTGACAAAGGTGACGTCTGGCTTGAAGATCCGATGATTGCTGCCGCTCTTGTGGATATTCCCTTTAAGGCCGAAGGCCGAAGCCAGGCTTCCTCCGTCCACGTAGCCGGTCTTGGGTTTCGGAGACCTTGAGAAGCTCCTGCCATTGAACGTGGACGGGCCAAGGCTCAACTTGACCCTTGGCAGGTCGCAGATCTCCGCCCACGTTCAAAGCAGTAGCGCTTCTCTTCGGAAGAGCGACCCTGTCAGGTCCCAGAGGATTCCTTGGCCTCATCAGCAGGTTCTGGGTGCATACCCATCTGCTCGACAACAGCTTTCTCCAAACGCCCGCGAGCCAAAATGATCCAGCTTTGGGAGAAGTTCCTGGGCGAGCTTGGCAGCCTTGTCGCCATGGCGGCCTTCAAAAGTGGCAACGAAGGTGTCCCCCAGGAATGCCAGAAATAATCGAGCGAGAATGGAAGATGCGGTTGCAACTATCCGACTGCATCTCCCATTCTCTCTCGGTGATTTGTGGCAAAGGCAGAGTGCTCAGGCAAACCCCCCGACGGAACGGCAATGGCAAAATGGCCCATGGCTCCAGTTCCGAGCTTCCGGTGTTGAATTGAATGGGGTTTAGGGTTTAGGGTTTAGGGTTTAAGGTGCGATATGGGGAAGAAGGGCTACTGGACATTGTGCGCCGCGAGGCTGCCACTAACGAGAAGTGCACAATGTCAAAACGTATTGCTTGATACATGTTGGAAACGTGATGCTGCAAGCATTCTCGTGGATGATCTTCCAGCTTGGGCAAAATTCCCAACGACCGAGGCTTTCCGTTCAGAGTACCGAAGCACCAGTCTGCATATAGTACACCTTCGTCATGACTGCGGCTCGGCTTTCTGAGCCACAGTCAGTGCACAGTGCAAAGTAGCGCCGGGAACGTAGTCCTAGCCGGGGCCGTGGCCCACAAGGATCCCAATCTCGTCACGGGCATCCTTCTGAGTGAGACCTGCACTGCCAAGCAGCCAAAGCAGCTCCACACCCTCAGAACCTTCCGTCTCGCAAGATACTTGTTGTCACGATAGCTTCCTCGCACTGCGAGCGGTGCCTTGCAGCTTCTGATTATACTTACATGCTTGTAATTGCGAAACCTCGTGAATAGCTTTGTTTATGTCTATCTGCAAATATGTCTGTATGTATGTATGCATGCATGCATGACTCATGCATGTATACCTGCCTGCGTAACTGTATGCAAAATTTACACGTTTACATGTGCACGACGTACGTACGTACATGGGTGCGTTTGTAGGCAGGCGGCTGGGTAGGACGGAAGGCAGGTTAGGTAGGGACGGATGGAGGTGTCGGTCGTCAGTCGGAGGGTCGACAGGCAGGCATGAATGCATGCTTTCTTGATATAATTTACACGCACATATGTCTCTATATTTAAATATACAATTGCATTTAAATATACACAATTGATACTTATGGTTATGCTTATGTCTATTAATATACATCTTATAAACTATGAACCAACAAACAAGCCATATATACACACATACATACATACATACATACATACATACATGCATACATACGTACATACATGCATACATACATACATAATCATACAGACAGACAGACAGACAGACAGACAGACAGACAGACAGACAGACAGACAGGCATGCATGCATGCATACATACATACATACATACATACATACATTATACATGCATTATACATGCATACATACTTGCTTACTGCATTTAGTATGCACCTATTTTCTGTTTTGTAGAATGACCCGTTCCCAGGTCCGAGTTGGCCTGTGAGCAAGCCGGTTGCGGCGGGGCTGTTCGCCACCTGGGCCTGGATCCGGGGATCCACCTTAGAACGTTCATGTTGGGGAACTTCGCTGAAACTGAACCCCCATTGTGAGCATCCTTACAAGGAACTACCATGCCTGGCAGATCACCGTGTGTCAAGTCAAGTCTTCACCTTGTTGCATCCAGCCCAATATGCCAGAAGCTGACCTACCTTACACAGAAACCTGGTACTGTAGCGATTGCACCCACACCCACGAAGTATCCCCGTCCATCTCTGCAATAGCGCTGCGACGGCTGCGATGAACCAACTAAGCCAGCCACGGTGGTGCCTCAGCGGAACCGTTGCCATCAAGGTGGCAAAGTGGCAGGAGCTTGGGTTTGGGTCGCATAACATGGCAAAGGTCAACACATTGGGAATTGCATACTGCTGACGCCAGCTGGCAGATTGAGAAGGCAGACTTGGAGGCTTTACCAAACAGCCTCCCAAGGCTTCTTGGAAGTGCAGCCTGTCTCATTGCAATCAAGGAGCCCCTGGGCCTGCAAACGAGAAAGTTTCAAGTCGGGTGCCGCAAGGAAGCACATCTATGAGTCAGACTGCTCCGCTGCGGTCTGAGGAAAGCCGAAACCTAATGTGCGGTGCCCTGCAAGCTTTGGAAGGGCATCGGATCATCGCTCGAAGGGCACCTCTTGTTCCGCTTTTCGCCACGATCTTTCATCATCTCCTCGTGTGCCTGCAACTTCGACATGTTTAATCTGGCCTCATGATCAAACACTGCTGCACAGACCTGCGGCGGCTTGCAAGCAGTCTTGGGTCGCATGAACGACAGCCTTCGCGACCATGGCGACATCCAAGGCCACGGCCTCAACTGCACAACCAGGAGGGCTTTTCACATGAAGCCACAAAACGTTGAGCTCAAACAACAAAACCACCTTACCCATACTATATTATACTATATTATACTATATTATACTATATCCTACTATATTATACTATACTATACTATACTACACTACAAAACTTCCACCGACCCAGGGCGCCAAACCACGGGCGGGGAGGACGCAGCAGCAAGGGAGGCGGCCTCGGAGAGTTTCTGGGCGGACTATGGTATAGTATAGTATAGAAAAGTATAGTATAGTATAGAAAAGTATAATAGTCTAGTCTAGTCTAGTGTAGTGTAGTATAGTATAGTATAGTATAGCATCATAGTATAGTATAGTAAAGTATGGCTAACGTGGCTGTGGTTTTCAAAAGAGGTGGATTTGGCCTGGGGCTTAGGCGCTTCGAGGTGGGGGTATGGAGCTTCGTTTGAGATTTGGGGGTTAGGCCTGTTCAGGGTCCTCGATATGTTACGCATCGCGAGGCTGCTGGGCACAGACTGGAGAAGCACCGCTAGAAATCCTGCTTGACATCTAGAAGACCTCGGGCCAACCAGAGTGCTGCGGTAGATACAGCCCTCACTGAGGTCAGTTCGATGTCCAGACACCACAGCCAGCCGCCGGAATCAGCGATGAAAACCTCATGCTGTGCTGCAGTTCGTCGCTTCAAAACCCAAGCAAGCCCTCTTCACGGCTTGATGACAGTGTAGGCAAAGATCTTGAGCCAGTGAAGCAGGCACATGCTTTCCAACGCCCAGACCTCGCGGCCTCGCGGTGTGCTGCTTTAGTTGCTGCTTCGTAGCCGTTCTTGTTTCTAATATCGCTGCTGTCGTTGTCGCCGTTTTAGTTGGCACGATGAGAACGGAGCCCAAATTGTGGAACGATGCACCCGCACTCATCACAGCAATACTTTTGCTTCAAGCTCCTTCAACAGCAGTGCAGACGTCGATACCTCTTGGAACAGCATCCATACGCCTGCGAGTCGTTGACGGATGATGCCCATGCATATCTGACTCCTTCCCCGAAGAACTTCTAGAATGGTATTGCACAGGAAAAAGCAATTACGGCCGAAGTATCTGCCTTGGAAGCTTCCCCTCAATTACTGCTTTTGGACCGAGTCTCCCTCAAAATCGTGCGGGCGGTTGCCGTGACCGATACAATGACGAATTCCGTGGTATATCGGATACTCACAATCTAAACGGCGATCAAAAGCGCTGGTACAGTATTATCTGCATTGGAGTGCACATGATACCAAGCTCTTTTACCTGCCATTTTTGTTACTGCCACCATAGACGTGGATTTTCCCATCCGCATAACCTCCATCGTGGATGAATTGGGGGTTACATGAAGGGGGCCTCCATTCACACTGACCCCCAATTCCTCCAAGCGCGTCTTTTCGTTTTCGCTCTTTTCAGGTCTGTGCCTCTGTGGTGCTCACTATTCGGCAGTCTTCTGCGTTTAGCATGATGATCGATCTCTGTTTCTTTCACCAGGGCCGTTCCCGTGACCATCGGCTGTGAAGAGCCTGCAGCCTGCCACATCCTCACTGACAGTTGCAGCATCTTCCATCAGAAGAAGCTCGGGCCCTGTCACTCTGCAGTGTGCACACAGACAGTGGAAGGACAGCTCGAGGCGTGCTAAGACACCAAAACTTCAAGATCAAGAAAGTGCGACCCCACATGCGCTGCATCTCTCTTTTCATATGCACAGCTGTTTTTCAGAAACAACATCCAAAGCGAAAGAACTGCGTGAGGTGCACGTTTCGCCGAGCGGCAGTCGCTGTGTATTAGCAGGCGTCTGTTTGGTTGCGTGGATTCCAAAACTAGTTCATGTACTTTGAACTGCTTTCGGGGGCCTGGCTGTCAACATCCAGGTCTCGGAAAGTTCCAACACAAGAGCTCCTTGCACCCAGCTACCTGTTAAGCTGCGATGATTCTTGCCTGGCAGCTTGGCTTGTGGGAATCTGAGAAACCGGCCAGTGAGTCACCATCGCCAATAGAGCCACCCAGCTCCTCGGCTACCTCGGCCGACTTCAGGACTGCCCACAAGCAGTGAGATCACCCTCCCAGGGGTCTGCACGGCTTCTTTTGCTGCTCGAAGAGATTCTGCCGCGGCCTGGCGCGGAACTCGCACACATGAACGAACACAAGTCTGTATCTGGACTATGTCTAGCAAACCTGACAGCTGCACAGAGTCACCCAGCATGAGCGCATTGGGTGCCGAAGACGGCAGCCTTCCGCAGGGACAGATCAGAGTGTCAGCACCCGAACGAGACGGTATTACGGACTTCCACTGCAAACTCAGAGCGCTCTGCCATTCGGCGAGACCGGCCTTGGCATTTCGGCGAAACGCTGGGTGACAATCTCATCAGCCTTAGGAGAACGGCTACTTACAAGCTCGAAAGGACGACAGGCTCGTCGCAGCCGCATCATGCAGTGCGTCGTGCTTGTCAGACCTATTTGCCACTAAACATAAAAACCGAATATAGCCAACCTCAAAAGGAGAGCCACTCTTGCGCTAGGCCCCTCCTCAAATGAGGAAACCCAGAACACGACGTGAGCACCTGGCTGAATTCGAGCAGCAGAGCTGCACTATTTCATCCCTTTGTATCTGCTGTTGAGCTCGCGTCTGCAAGAGTTGATCGTTATCAGCATGACTACAGCGATAGAACTCTGCAACCCTTTCGTGGTCTCGCTTCCGCAGGCTTTGTAAGACTACCTGGACGAACTTATCTTGCGGGCACCGGCGATCGAGGCCTGCAGCCCGTGTTCCAAAAAAGTGGCTCAAGTTCAAGTCCCTCAGAATATGTTTTACCATTTCGTGGACCCTTTGAATACCCCGATGCCCTTTCTGAACGTTCAGGCCTGAACGGCGTGGAAGACCCCGAGGCCGCGGCATCGCCATCGGAGTCACTGCCGGAGAACTCCTCTGCCGGAGCCTCCTCGTCGGCCTGCAGCCCGGCTCTTCGGAGGGAGTTCTGAAGCGGCCCCTGGCCCACCTAACTCCAACTGCATGCACCAGAAGGCGCTTCAACCCTGAATGGCCCTGAACCCGTTACACATCCTCCGACCAGTACGGCCCGAAAAGGCCGGAATTCCCGGGCCGCCTTACCGAGGATGCGAGCTGCACCTGACAGTGGGGAAACAAGCTCAGAACTCCTCGTAGGCCTGTCTTTCAGAGATCAGATTGTGGGTTGAATTCAGGGTACTGCAGCAGTGACTTCGTACATAGTCTTCCGTGACTCAGGTGCCTTCCGGATGGGGGGGGGGGTCTGCCACATGACGTCACATCATGGCAATCTCGTACGAGTCTACCTTCCCTCCAGGCCTGGAGGCTGGGTGATGAAGAGTGACGAGGGCGGCTCCTTCTCAGCTGCCTGATCCAAGACTTCTGCAATTTCCATCATCCCAAACCCTTGCTGGGACGACAACAGCACAAGATGAGACTAGAGGCCCATTATTGGAGGCCCCAAGCTCCAGGCTCCGAACCAGTGATCCGATAGCTAACAGTATGACCTCCTGGTTAAACCGTCGGGAAATCGTCGAGAATGCCCTGTGTAATTCCTTCAGATGCCATCATCCCAGGGTCAGATCAAGGCAGTGCAGTGGTGGCAGTCGGCCAGTTGTGAAGTTTCAGTTTCTGGAGAAATCCGAAGAGTTGCGGCTGAAACCTGCTGCTTCCCTGGAATGCAACCCTCCATTATCGTCACGACGTCCCACCTTGTCGGCCTTGGCTTGGAAGAAGGGCGTGCTCTTCCTCGGCAGATGACGCACGCCTAACAAGCAGTGGAGCTAAACCCTCTGCACCCAAATTGTCCAAATTGTCCAAGCGACTCCTGAGCCACAGCCGTCGCCGACGTGGTCGGTCCTCAATCTCTGCGGTCTCCGCGCATCTCTGCGAAAGGCACTTTTCCGAAGCCTTCGAAGGGCTGGTTGTCCAGGCAGTCGATCGGCAGCTGCACAGGACCTGGGCTTCTTCAGCTCGGAGGCTTCATCTTGGCCCATGGCCTTCCCCTCGCCCGGGCATCATAAACCTCGCTCCAACAGGACAGTCACCCAAGGGCGCTATCTACGTGTTCCGAAACATGCCGGACTACAGAGATGAACTCTGGAACATTGGCATGGAGATGCTGGGCACTTCTGGACTGTGGCAAACTGCTGATTCAGACACAGCATCCCCACCACCAGGCAGAAGAATGACTTGCCCAATCCCTCAGGCACCTTGCCAAACTGCGCACCGAAGATCAACAACAAATTTCATCTCAGAGTTCCAGCCACCGGGGAGCTGCCACGTTTCATTTTCACGACGGAGTTGCGCCAAGATTGGGATTCTTCCGAACTGACTGCTCCGGCTGAATGCCCAATTGACCTTTAGCCAAGCCTGGCTCTCTCGGATGTTCTTCCAAGGCTGTCGGCAGGTCCATGATCTTCTTCCGTTTCAAGCGGCTAGGTCCAGGTCTTGCCATCTTTGAAGGCTGGACAAGAAGGGACCCGCGCTGTTGCTGTCGGTCCTGTATCAGGATGTATCACTCGCTTCGCTTGATTTCCCTTGAGCCGTGCCACGACGGGATCTTTGCAACTTCGCATCCGGAACCATTCCGTCCGAGCTTTCAGACTCTGCTAGGCGCAAGCAGAGCCGGTGTCGTGCGGACCACCGGCTTGCAGAGATGGAGACTTTGAGGGGAAAGGAAACAGGAGCGTCAGGAGACGTGCCGGCCGAACAGGATAGCAATGGCCCCTCCTCATGGGGCTGCGGCCCCTCGGAAGGGCTGCAAATGCTGTGATGCCTGGCGAGCGCTGCCACACAGGCAAGAACACGGACCTATGCTACCTCGCGTTGCTCAAAAAGCCCTAGGTGCATCTTTGGTGACTCTACTGGAGGCACATGCAGCCTGCGAAACATCGGACGATCCTACAGCCTTGAAGGCCTCCAAAACTCGAAGGGACAAGTTGCAATCGCGGGACATGAAGCACAGCCACTCAACTGACATGGCGGCTGCGCGTACAGACTCGGTGCTGGTCCAACGCGCTTCTGCAGCCTGGTGAAGTCTACGGTGCCTACTGCCTACCTCGAAAGTCGAGAGAGAGAAGTCCAGCAGTCAAGGCTGCGGCCAGGTTTTCTCCCTCCCCTTGGGAGCCTCGCGGGTCTTTTCATGTACGACGGCCACCAGTGATGCTTCAGTTCCAGCAGGCGCCTTCATCCAGATTCTGGCCCTCCATTTCTTGGGCCTCTGCCTGCACAGCACAGCAAGAATCCTGCGGAGCCTTGCGCGTGCCTGGCGCAACGTTGGGGTGGACCTCGGGGTTCTGCTCTGCCGTCTCATCCTTTCCGGCTCTGGCCTCGCGACTCGGCGAGGTGCGGCCAGAAGCACAGGGAGACTCTGAGACTGGGCGTGGACTCAACAGAAAGGCGCGGGCCTTGGCAGCCTTCATCTCCTCTTCACGCTTCTTCTTCCGCAGCTTCGCCTGTCCGCCGCTCTCTGCAGCTTCCGAAGCAATTCTTCTTTCCACACCCTACCCCTTGCATCTTCTGCGATGGCGAAGCTAGGAACACAAACAGTACCTGCTTTTGCGCCGAACTTCTCGAAACTTCTACGGCTTCACTTCCCGTCACGTTGCAGAACTGAGACGGCGATCGTGCTTGCGGGACTTTCTGTTGTCGTATGACACTCAGGGGCTGAGCGTATGGTGCCTCATGGTCGCGCTTCTGCTTGAGGCGATCTCGGCAACAGAGTTCCACAGCTGCTACTGAACTGAGGCAAAGTCCACCTAGCTAACTCGACGTCTCTCGACACGCACCGGCCGATGTTAGCTTTGGGCTTCACTGAGTGCTTGACTGTACCACTCGGCAGGGATGCAAGCGCTCTCTCGCAGCTGACCGGCATCAAGCCTAGTGTGCAGAAAGCTCCAACGTAGCTGGTACCAGCCAGCAGCACAAGCCGGCTGTCGCGAAGAGCATTTTGCAGTGACAGCACCAAAACACCAGATTCCATCAACAGAAGAGCTTGTGACGAGGATTCGGCTGCGGCTCTGTCTAAATACCGGGAATCCACGTGCGAAGCTGCAAGAAAACCCAGGCGTCTTGCAGGAGTTTCAACTGCTGTAGGCGGCCCGATTGGACCTGAGAATGTCCGAAATCGCAGAGGCAAGTCGGCTTCCAGAAGTCGCTACCATCCGCTACCGGAGTACTGGAGTCTTCGCATCTGGGAGGGGGGGGCTCTATCGCTTAATTATTTAGTTCATTGGCTACTTACTCATTCTTATGTATTTACTATATATATATATATATATATATATTATGTATATATATATATACTATGTGTATGTATATATATATATATACATATAATGTATATACTATGTATATATTATGTATATATTCTGGTTCTTGAGGCCCAGGCATGGACCTTGAGACCCCAAAGTCGAAGCCTGGACTGGCTGTCGATGGTCAGCAGCCTTTCACCGAGGGGAGAGATTCGCCCGCACTCTTAACACCCGGGTTAGGGTTTAGGGTTTAGGGTTTAGGGTTTAGGGTTTAGGGTTTAGGGTTTAGGGTTTAGGGTTAGGGTTTCTTTTTGAGGGCCTTTGTCTGCCTTCGACTTTTCCTGGTTTAGGGCTTAGGGTATACAGCGGACAGTCGCCAGCATCCTTTGCAATCTAGCTTCCTCTCCAAAGCGACCAGCCATGCCAAGGGACGTCACAGGAAGAAGTGGATCTGCCGCAATCTGGATCATCCTGCATGCTCGCATCAACTGGAAAAACGGTTACAAGACACCCGCTCCGCACCAGCCAGCTTTATCTTGCTATCTGTCTCCCAGGCACCAGCATTCGCGACATGCCCCGGAAGCAAAAAGAAGCGCAAGGCACCTCATGTGCCGAAGGCCAGATCCAGGCTGCATTTCACCTCGCAGATCTTCTCTGCTCGAAGCCGCTTAAGCCGCTTTCCTTTTGGGGAACACCGACTCCAGATTCCGACACCAGACGGGCCCGCTTCCTGCGTGGCTGCAAAACGTACACCCAAACCTTAAACCTCAAACCGAATCCCCAAACCCCAAGCCGTCGTTTCCAACCCCCACAAGCACCTTCTGGCAGTGCTCTCGGGATGTTCACGGTGCCCGCCAAGCGAAGGTTGGCGAGGCTGTAGATGTGAGCAACGCCCTCCTAAGGCCAGGGAAGGATTGATGGGATGATTAGCTCGTAGCTATCTACACCTACCTATTCAAAGATTCACTGATCTACTGGTGGATGCATTTTTGCGCTGATGTCAATTCTTCCATGCTAACGAATCTATGGCTTGCTCTTTGCCTGAAGAAACCGTAAGTGCATGCCCAAACAACGAAGCTGAGTCTTCACCCCGCCTGCGTGCCCACCGCCATGAGCCCCGGCTCTTCCCCATCTGGTACTTCAACACCTCATGTCTGGGCCAGGGATGCACTGCACTTCTGCGGCTCTTCGTCCCAAGGGCCTTCGGCCCAAGGAGCCACGTCGATGCAGGTGACCGGGCTGGCGTCCTCGAGGTGGACCCACCGAAGCACCTGAACTGCGATCTGCTCCGACTCGCCTCTTTCTTTCGGAGCTGAAGAATGCTGAGCTGCTGAGAAATCGTTCTCGGTGCTGAAGATGATGACCTCGGAGCAAAGGTCTCACAGAGGCAACGCGGTGAGCCTTCCTTGGAATCGAAGGCTGTCCAGGCTTCCGAACCCGGCCCTCGACAGTTCCCACGTAGACCCGGCGTTGCTCCTGGGCAAGCGCTCCGCACTGGCTCTCTTCTTCCCGAATGGAGCTCTCCATTCGTATCATGTGCCTTCGATACTGTCCAATCAGCAATCCTCCTCTTTACTTCTGCTGGAACATATCTGCCTCCACGGGCAGTACGCAGGTGATGCCGCTGCTGAGGCCACGCTGTAGGTCCTTTCATGCCAACAAGTGGAAAGCATCGTCCTCGTCAGAGGTCCAGCAAACTAAAGACATCTAAAGTAAGACATATAGCATTACACCCGGGTTTCTGTTTCACCTTCCTCGCTCTCCATTCTCATCTTTGTCGTGCATGTACAGACAGGATTGATTCGCTTTAACTTTCAGCCCTTCCTCGCAATGCAAACGACATGACTGGCCAACTCAAGCAGAGTGCACACCCTCCTCATGTACTGCTTATTCTTTCACTTGCTACGAATGCTGCGGAAGACCCAACCACGGAAAAAGAAATAGCCTTGCTGTTGAGTTCTTTCTCGAAATGCAAAGGACGTGACTTCTCCGAACTCAAAGAACGCACTCTCCCAACCAGAAACCTCTAAATAGCGCATAGGCGTTCCTACTCTGGAGCGTCCTATGCTTGTTTCGCCACCAGTAAACCGAATGCACTGTCGGAACGCAAGAAAGCCGACATCATGCGCCTCTGCTGTCGGTGAGTTCTGCGGCAAACCTGGAGATGTGGTACAGTACGGGCATGTGCGACGTTCAGATACCACTTGTTGTTCGATGCCATCTGCAGCCTAGCTACCTGAATTTCAGTGCTCCGCGGAGCTTGCAGAATGCTACTTTTTCAGATGTTCTGGGAACCGAGCCGCTACTTCGCTTGGCTGCAGGTGCCGGGGCCTCTGCTGCAGGGCCTGTGCCTGACAGCGGGCATGGACGCGACATGTCTGACCAGCTACTCTTTTGCATGACCTGAAGGACTCTGCGCGGCAGCTGGCCTTGACCCTCCGGAAGTGCAGCTGGAGCAGCGCTTCCTGGAGCGTATGGCAGGAACTGACACACATGTTGAGATGTAAATCAAGAGGCGACTACAGGAAATCGGGTGGATAGTCGATGGAATGGGCTTTCTACGGCTTGCTGCAATGTCTGGCTGTCCTCTCGGGGCATTGGCACCACGGCCTTGGCATGGTAGCTCGGTGCCGGTTTGATGCTGCAGAGTTGCGCTCCATGCAATGCCTGTCTACTGCGGCAACAGGATCACGCGAGACGTGCCCAGTGGCACAAGAGCTAAGGCCTGCAACGTTGGCAGGCTAAAACCTCGCGAGTTTGTGTGCTGGCGACTAAAGGCACACCTGCCTTCATCAGCACACTTGTCTGCCATTCTTGGGCCTAGTGTTTAAGGTCCATCCCGGAGCTCACAAGCGACTCCTCGCCTGGAAGTAATCACGTCTATTAGGCAGCTCCTTCAAGCCGCTGCTACCTGTCGACCCCTTCGCATGAGAAGTGCGGGTGCTGGTCGCGTATTCTCATTGGGCACATGGAGTTCTGCTCATCCTGCATCATCACCTGCATCCGCTAGCCAGAGGCAGATATTATTCTTCTGGACAAGCAAAACCAAAGTCTTTGAAGCTCGGCGGAACAGCAGCGGCTCGGTAGGGAAATTGAGAACTGTGCCGACACGGTACTACTCAGGCCAGGGGCCCTGTCACTTCACAGCATATTGGACAAAGCCTGTGAAATTCGGCGAGGCTTTCGACTCCGGCCTTCCTCGGTAGAGCTTTCAGACTCGGCCTCCTGCGGAAGGCTGCAGTCTCAACAGCTTTAGGGTTCGAATGTCTAGTCTACACATCACATCCAGCTGCGCAGGTCCAGATACCTCTGCTGTGCCTGCAGCTATTATGGTTGATACTGCTTCCGTCACTGCTCTTACTCTCACTCTTACCCGTTATCTTACTCTTGCTCCTTATTCTTGCGCTACGACCACTACAACATTGCTGCTACTACTACTTCTTCTACTACTACTACTACTACTACTTCTACTACTAGTACTACTGCTACTACTAC